AACTCTCTTCTTAAGAAATCTTTTGACCTTCAAATTGCCCTTTTCAAATGGAAAGACTCATTCTACCTCTTTTACAGTATTTACAAACTTATGCCCTCTGCAAAGTAAATTCAACTTTAAGCATCAGTCAAGACCTGATTTCTGTGCTAACGTAAGCACTCAGTGATGATGATGATGATGATGGTGATGATAATTACTACCATTTGTGGAGCACTGTCAGGGGAGAAACTGAAGCTTAGAGAGAGATTAAATTACTTGCTCAGAGTCCAACACCTAGTAAGCTGTGGAGCACCATGACCAGTCCTCAGAAATATGTGTTAAACAGACAGAGGAAGCCACATTTCGAATTCACCCCTACCTAACTTCAGAGCTGGAACGTTTAACCACAAGGCCATCTCCCCGTGTTTTCGTGAAAGCATTAGAGTACAGCCAACTGGAGTTAAATTTGGTGTTGATAAAAAACCTGCCTGGCCCAGGTGCAGAATCATGTTTGAGATTTACTCTTAATAGATCAGAAATCACATATTGTGACATACATTTTAAATGAACCACCCCAGATGAGGGCTCACTGATAGTTGGCCTCACTCAGTGACGGTAACTTGTGTGTCTTTGCTTGAGAGTTCAAGTCGCTGACGTACCTCACAAAGGCTACTGATAAGACTGCCCTCGGTACCTTCACCACAGCTCTGTGGAAGCCAGAAGGGATGGATTTTGTAAATATTTCCGATACTTGAATTTTTTAGTGACATATCATCCACCCTGGAATTCCCTACGCCCACCTTTCCACAACCATAGTTGTTTTCTCCAGTCAGAAAGATGGGATGATAGATATTCACAATAATGAGACCATTAAAACAAACAAAAATCAGGATACCAAAATTTGTAATGGAAAGAGGAATGTCAGCACTAAAATGAGAGATCCCAACTGGCGTTTTAGCACAGGAATAGAAACAACCGGGCCAGCACCTCTTCTGGAAGATGCCTCATCACCGTCAGAATCTCCACAAGTTTTCTCTTTATTTTATAAAGTCCAGAGAGCACTTTTTACTCATGACAATATAGGCAAACAAAAGGCTTTTGATCACATCATGAAAATGAACCAATTAAAAATATGAAAATCTCATCTTACCTGCCCTGTGGTTTCAGCTGGGGAGCAGAAATTTTGTACAAGCAATCCGAGGAAAAAAACTATGAAATGTTGTAGCATGATGAGGAGATATTTGCTCCTTCCCTGGGCCAGGCACCTGTCAGGATGATTTAGGTGTTTTAGCTTAGTTTGATGAACTCGACTCCCAGCGAATTCTTTCTCATTTCAGTGTTTACTTTGAAATCCTTCCCTTTTCTTGGACTGAACCAGAAGGAAGGTGAAACCTGCCTCTGGATAGGAAAAAAATGTCAAATCCAGGGGTCTTGGTGCAATTGGCCACGCTAAATGGTATATATATCCTGGCCGAATGACAGGATATCCTGAAGGGGCTCAGGCGGAGGCCTGGCCTGGAGTTTCTGTGCCTGTCAAAGTCCGGGAACAGTTCCTGCCCCCCTTCTGCTGTGCCCATGCCTCTGGTGCACCGACCTGCCAGCGTTTCCACAACTGCACCGTGCAACACCTCAGGCCTCTCTGTCCAGACTCGAAGGTCCAAGCTTGCTGCTGGGCTTTGCTTGTGGGGGTGCCCTGAAGTGGGCACAAGCCCAGGTGTGGAGAGGGATGCTGCAGAAGCCTGGGTCCCTGCCTTGGAGGAGCGGGTAGCTTTACCCTGGGCCGGTGGCAAACTCTACTGCAAAGAAATGTCTCCTTGCAGACGCCAACAGTTGTGTTTTCGACTCACTCTTTCTGTTCTTCCGTGTCACTCCGGTAGCAAGTGACTGAGATCTTAGGTCTAATCTTACCTTTAAGGTCTGGACCTTTTGCCACCTGTTCAAGCAAGCTCTCCTGCCCTGCCCTTGCACATGACCGTGTAGCCTCTCCCAGAATTTTGCACGCAGTGCCGTGAAAGCCCAGTCTCATCTATCAGAATTCACCTGTCTGCCTCCCATGCCCGACTGTGAATTCCTTGAGGGCAGGCAGGGGCCTAACCTTCATCTTTTCTGTACCTCTTGAAGCCTAGCGCAGAGAACTGTACTTGAAGATAATAAAAATAATTAATAATATTAGCCAACACTTTTTGAAAGCTTAATACGTGCCAGTCACTATTCCAGAGCTCTCCATGGATTTGCTTGTTTAATTCTCACAGCACTTGGTGAAACAAGATTATTCTCCTCATTTTACAGATGAGGAAACTGAGGCAGAGAGGTTAAGCAATTTCCCCCAACGTCCCACAGCTAGTGGGCAGTGAATCCAGTATTCAAACCGTGTAGCTCCAGAGCCAGGGCTGCCAACCACTACCCTCTACTGCCCAAAACAATAAATATTTGATGAATAAATAAATAGCAAGCCGTGTGCCAGTACATCTGGAACGGTGATGGGAAGGTTTCAGACCCAGCACGAGGAAGGATAAAGTCTGGGTATTTCAACCAGACAGGGCACATCTCATGACACTGAATTAACTGGAAGACTCATGCAGTACAGGTGCTAGTTTTGGTTAAATAATTCTTTTTTCTCTACAAAGAATCTCTCACCCCCCCTCCCCAATGAACCTTTGAAACAACATTATACTGACCGGTAATCTAGGAAACTTTTCCAACACAGACAGGCCCCTCAGCAGCTAGCTTTGAGGTCTAAATGGGCAGATAAGGAAGTCCTTATAACTCCCTTGGCTGTGCATTAGAATCCCACAGGAGCTTAAAAAAAAAAAATCTTCGAACAGTGTGGAGGGGAAGGGCATACCTATAACCCTTGCTAGGGAAAAGGCAAAGTTATAAAATCTAATCAAAATGTTAAAAAAAAATTATCGGGTGTTGGGCAGGAGGGAGGGGGAGGGGGGATGGGTATATATACACACTATAAGTGTGATATACATTATCAGGGGGATGGACATGCTTGAAGCTCTGACTCGAAGGGGAGGGAAAGCAAGAGCAATGTATGTAACCTTAACATTTGTACTCCCATATCATGCTGAAATAAAAAAGAAAGAAAGGAAAAGAGTAAATTAAAAATTAAAAAAAAACCAACCTAATGCTTGGCCCTATTCCAGAACAATCAAATCAGAACTAGTGGGAGTGGGGCGCAGGAGTATTTTCCAAAGATTCCTGAGAGATTTTACTTGCACCCAACTGCTGCTTGAGGAGGAAATTACTACTGCGTGAAGCCAATGAGATTTTGAAGTTCGTCTGTTACAATAGCTGTGTTACCTTAAATAATGCACCAGGGAAATAAGATGGATGCTTCTTTCTGATTCTTTTTCTTTCTGACAGACATAGACAAATATCTAGTGCTTGGAATGGGCTAGATTCCAGGTGAAATAATAAAATGAACGCCCACTAGCACTTCCCAAATAGTGTTGCACTGCACACTATTTAGTTCTGGGAGATGCTGTAGGAGTATTAGGGAAAAATTCTCCCATCAGACAATTTGGGAAACCTTGTCTCTGATATCCCTTTCTCATGGATTGATCATGCTCATCAGCCCATTACAGGTTCTGAGAAGTCCTGCATTAAAGCAACTAAAACCCAAACATTTTTAACTTTGCTTAAGGCAGTATTTCCTGAGCTTTTGAGACCAAGGGATGCTTTCTTTTTTCACAAATTCATATTGACAGCTTCCAGATCTTGTGTTCAATTAATCTCCCTTAGGGAAATGCTGCCTTAGACTTTAGCAGGTAGACTATTCTATTTTTAAATTGCCAGGAAGTAGAATTTAGATTGCTAGTGGCCACAGTCTGGACCCGTGCATAGGGTTTATCAATTAGTTTCATTAAAAAATAATAAACCAAAAAGACCTATAACTCACATGGCATTGTTCAGAAATTGTCTCAATAGTTGTATTAATTAATTCTGTTTCTGTTAGGCTCTTTTGATTGTTATGAAGAGAGATTCTTCAAGTTATTCTTGAAGGTAATTCCAACCACCCCGCAATTGAGAAGTAAAGAGCTGAGAATGATGCCTAGCACATGGTGGGTGCTCAGTCACTCTTGACCATAACTATGCAGTTAAATATGCAAATATGTACAACAGCTACACAAATCTCTACCCTTAGCCAGTTGTAGCTCCAAAGTGGGTATGGATTTCCCCAGTCCTGGATTGTCCCAGTTCTGCAGATCTGTGTGTCCCTTATTGGGCCAAATGTCACTTTCTTTACTGCGGTCCATATTCCTTTTTGCAGATTGTTGCAATCCCTGTCTCTACTCGTTCAAAGTGTTTTTTAATCAGTAATATTTCATAGGCAGTTTGTCTCATCTCCATGTCCCCTCTGTGCTGTGGACAGTCACTCGGGACCTGGGGATGGCTTTCCTCTTTCCAGGGCTGCTGTTTGCTCTCACTGCTTGCTCCTTGGGTCTTCCTGGATCAATACTCACCTCCTTTCCCCTGTCCTCAGCGGTGGCAGGGTGAGAGCTTATAATTTCCTCTTGGGTAGGAGGAGTAATTTCTGATTGGACTCTGAAGAGACTTTTCCCACATTGGAAAAGGAAAACAAAAAGTGGGGGGAAGGTTGGAAACCTCCTAGGGAACACTGTGGAGTATCTTCCGTGGCTGTAGGATTCTGGCTGTTAGTGTAGAACTGTTCCTTTCTCTATGTCATGCTCGTTACTCAATTTTTAATCCTTGGTCACTTTAAGTAATAAAACATTTTGTGTGTGCTTTGAGTAGGACTCAAGAAAGGGGACTCAGCACCTTTATCATCATCATCATCATCATCATCATTGTAAACTCACATATGGCTTTCATCACGTGCCAGGCATTCTTCTAATCTTTAATTCATTTACTATTTTAAATAAGCCTAATTGAATCTTCTTATTGTCGTAATAAAGTTAAATATTTATTTAAATTTAAATTATCGAATTTAACTTATTAAATCTTCACCATAAGCCTAATGCATAAATATTGCTATCATTTCCATTTTTCAGATGAGAAGACTTAAAGAGGATGAGTAACTTGTCTGAGGTCACAAAGCCGGTAAGTGATGGGCAGGGATTTGAATCCAGGACTCAGTGTGGATTCAGTGGATTCAGCATGGACTCAGCATGGATTCACTGAGCCATCCACTTGACTTGCTTTGGTCCTCCATGAATCTTGCGCAAGGTCTTCTTGGACCTTGTGAGATGGCCAAGAGGGTTAGAGTTTATTCTTATGAAGCAGAATAAGCCTTAACTGTCCATGTGGGGATCAATTGTATCTTTTGCTTTGCAGGGAAAAAAAAGCGCCCAGAAATTGGGAATCTGAGGTTAATATTTCCGGTTAAAATTCATTTATCTTTGTTCTTTCAGTAGCTTTTGCTAAACTGAAGAAGAAAAAGATCTCAGGATAGCAGCAAGGTATTGCTCTTTCTTGAACATCTAGCTAGAAAATTGAAAAAGTTGCTTTACAGAGTTTCAACAGATCCAACAGCTCCTAATGTTTTTCCAAAAGAAAGTGGTGCTTTGGGAAGTGAAAATTTTATAATAGACGAGATAACAAGAGCCAGTCCCTGAGAACGTTCAGTCAGAGAAATCAGTGGGAACTATTTGGACATGCCTCCATGGACGCCTCCACTACTAACGTGGCCCTTGATAAAATTTAGATTCTGGCCAAGGTGGAACGAACAGAACTAATAACACAAGCTTTCAAAATCTCATTTCATGATTTCAAGTAGTTTAAAAAATAGTCTTCCAGGAAGAGAGAGAGATTTTTCTGCCTTGGCATGTGGATTTCTCCCTGAGTAGGCACTTTCAGTGGAATCCAGTTTTATTATACAAATAGCTTGGTGTTAAATTCAGCCAGACATTCTTTCTGTCTACTCATTGGGCAGGATTCTTGGCACCTGAAACATCTTGGCCAGTGTACAGAATATTTTTCTTTTCTCCTTTACATCTTATTGTGATATCGAGACAATCCAATGGCTATTTATATACCAAATACAAAAATTGTTAAAAAGGAATTTCACAATCTTCTTCTCCTGTTTAAATATCTTTTTTGTACTGATTTTATGAGCAATATCACATTTTTTTTTCTTTACTTTTCTCCTTTCCCTGGTTTGGGTAAGAATATCTTGTATTTTTTTTTTTTTTTAGACTAAAGGACTTAAGAAGCTAAAGTGAGAGTAGTCTGCAGTTTCTTTTTAATGATGTTTTGAAATAACACTTATTTAAAAGTCTTCAAGTGGAAATCTAAGATTCCATTTGGCCTGATTTATGTAGGTAGCTATGTTCAATGTACGCCTTTACTTTGATTGTGTAGATATAGGTCATGCCAAATAGGATGATGTTCTTTCTTAGTTGTTATCACACTGTAAATTTTACTTATCTACTTATTCACTCAACAAACATTTATGGAATGTCAGACATTAGGCTAGGCTCTGAGGACCAGAGGTAGATAAGCCATATTTCCTTGTGCATTATATTAATAGCTTCCAGCATATTTTTGTACATATATGTCACTTATTACCTGTGGTTCATTGAATTCAGTCATTAAAAGGCTTCCCTGAACTGGATGCTCCTTGTCGTCACACTTAGAAAATACTCTAAGCTGCTTTTTTTTTCCGGAGTCTCACTCTGTTGCCCTGGCTAGAGTGCAATGGCACGATCATAGCTCACTGCAACCTCAAACTCCTGAGCTCAAGTGATCCTCCTACGTCAGTCTCCCAAGTAGCTGGGACCACAGGTGCGCACCACCATGCCCAGCTAATTTTTTTAATTATTATTTTTGTAGAGACAGGGGTCTTGCTATGTTACTCAGGGTAGTCTTGACCTCCTGGTCTCAAGTTATCCTCCCACCTTGGCCTCCCCAAGTGCTGGGATTAGAGGTGTTAGCCACCATACCTGGCCCTAAACTTTTAATCTTCATAGAGAGGCACTCTTTTAGTCCCTTGCCATTTCTCAGGGACTGAATTTTTTAGGAGGGTTATTATTGTGAGAATCAGATACCAGAGCTCAAGAGATTGTCATTTCTGATTGAAATGTTTGTGTCTCCAGGTAGGGTGTACATGGGGCCACGCTGCCGCCTCTCTGGAACACTTCCCATCCTGCAGAGAGGGCCGAATGAGCCAGTGAATAAATGTCCGTGCCTTCACCTGGCCCTGCCCCCCTCTCTGGTTCCTCTGCCTCTTGCTTTGAGAGGATAAATAAATGCACCCAGTTGTTATTAGGAACCGACGGGGCGGTGGGGTTTCCTGCACACTCATCAGATCCAGGCCCTGTGAGGAGTCAGCTCTCCAAGCAGGGGATGTGTCCAAACACGTGTATCCCTCCCCTCGTGGCCCTTTCCTTTTCCTTTGTTAGATTAAATCTTTCCATGCAGCAAACTTTCTTTTTTGGTGATTATTGTTTTTCCTTTTTGTGGAGACCAGTCAGCAGGTCCTGCTCTAAGCAAAATTGTGAAGTAGGCAAAGTTCCTCTCCAGCAACCCCCCTCCCCACTTCCCTTTCTGCAACCTCCCTCCCCCATCCACTCAGCCATTCAAGCCAGCGACATTTACTAGGGGCTCACTATGCCCAGGGCATGTTCCTGGTTAGGATGTTATTTCCTAGTGGACTGAGATGAATGATTTGGTATTTACATAGTCATAGTGGACATTTATCTACCCCGTTGCTCAAGAGTGGTTTTTGTTTCTTCTCTTTTCCTCACCACCGGTACCAGCAACTGCTACTGATTCTACCTTCAACAGGCGGAATCTGATCATGAATGTAGCCACCTCTCTACATCCCCACGGTGCCCTCCTTGGTTTAAGCTCCATCACCATCTGCTTCCACTGTTGCGGTAGCATCCTACTCGACCTCCCTTTTTCCACTTGGCCTCCTAAAATCCATCCTGCAAGCAGTGGTCAGAGTTGTCTTTTAAAGGTATAAGTAAGACCAAGTGTTCCCAGCTTAAAACCCTTCAGTGGCTTGGAATCAAGCACCAACCCCTTGCCATGGCTTTGGGTCCTGCCTGACCTCAGCTCTGGTCTTCTCTCTGGCTTTGCCCTGCTAGAGGCACCCTGCCTTTGTTTCGTGTCTCCATCACCCCAAGTGAATCCCCATCTTCGGCATTTTCGTGTTTTTTTTTTTTTTTTTGAGACAGAGTCTCACTTTGTTGCCCACGCTAGAGTGAGTGCCGTGGCATCAGCCTAGCTCACAGCAACCTCAATCTCCTGGACTCAAGCAATCCTCTTGCCTCAGCCTCCCGAGTAGCTGGGACTACAGGCATGCACCACCATGCCCAGCTAATTTTTTTTCTATATATATATATATATATATATATATATATAAATATTAGCTGGCCAATTAATTTCTTTCTACTTATAGTAGAGACAGGGTCTCGCTCTTGCTCAGGCTGGTCTCGAACTCCTGACCTCAAGCAATCCGCCTGCCTCTGCCTCCCAGAATGCTAGGATTACAGGCGTGAGCCACCATGCCCAGCCTCGGCATTTTCACTAGCTGTTCCCTGTTCCTGGAATGCTCTTCCCTCTGCTATTTGCATGATTGATTCTTCCTTGGCATCAGTTCTCATGTAAATGTCGCCTCACAGAAGAGCCACCCCTGACCACCCAAGCTAACATGGTCTTTAAGCTGCTCCATTGCACCTTTGTGTGGTGCTCATTCCACGCCACAGCATCTTGTTTGTTGTCATTTTCCTACTGACCTGTAAGTTTCACAAGAGCAACTTTCCATGGGGTGCTTTCCCAGTGCCTAGAACTGGTGCCTGATCCAGAGCAGGCAATCCATACATTGTTGCTGATGAATTCGTAAGTATTTGTTAGGTGCTCTGCACTTTACATATATTATTTAATCCTCTCAAATCTCCCATGGGGAACGCAGTATCATTATCTCTGTTTTACAAATCAGAAAACTGAGGTAAGAAGAGATCTCTAAGCAGGGCTGGCTCCTGTAACTTGTGGGGCCCAGGGGAGAATGCAAATGCAGGGCCCTTTGTAAAAGCATTATGAGACATTGCAAGGCTGAGGCAGCAGGGCGGGGTAAGAGGTTTTGGAGAGCTAAGAAACGTGTATTAATCAGGGCGGTCAGGGTAATCCTCAGGGAAAGGTGAAATGCGAGAAAGGCTTAAAGGTGGGGAGGAAGTTCGCTAAGTGGACATCCCAGAGGAGAACATTCTCTGGGTAAAGGGAGAGGAAAGAGGAAAGGCCCTTAGGTGGAAGTGGCAATGGGGCAGAGAGGGAAGGTGAGGGCCTTGGGGAGGGATCTATGAGGCATTGTAGGGTTTTGAGTAGAGAAAAGACACGATCTGGCTTTTATTAGGAAGCCACCACCCCAGCGGATCTGTCGAGAACACACTGCCGCGGCAAGTGGAAGACTTCTCAATGGGCTACTGCAAAGAACCAGGCGAGAGGTCGTGATTGCTTGAGTTAGGGTGGGAGCACTGGAGGTGGGGAGAAGGGGTCTGATTCTTGATGTATTTCACAAGGAGGGCCAACAAGATCTGTTGATAGTTTGGATGTTGGGTTTGTAAGAAAGAGAGGAGTCAAGGATGACTGCAAGGTGTTTGGCCTGAGCAACTCAAAGAATGAAGTTGCCACCCACTGAGATGGGAAGGTCTGAGTGAAGCAGGGCTTTGTGAGGGAGATTTAGGAATTCAGTTTTGGATAGGAGGCGTCTATTAGATATCCAAATGGCAATGTCAAACAGGAGTTGAATAAATGAGTCTGGGGTTCCAGAGAGAGAGGCCTGGGCTGAGTATACACATTTGAAAGATATCCGCACTATGGGTCACAGTTAAAGCCTTGGGCAGAGCAAATCACCAAAGGAATGAGAGTGAGTAGACAGTAAAATGAAATTCCAGGACACTGATATTAGGAGGTGCAGGGGAACTGGGAGGAGGGGAAGGGAAGGGTGCTGTGCTCACTTGTGTCAAACGGTGATGAGAGGTGGAGTGAGACGAAGCCTGGTGCTTTGCCTTTGGAGGTTTTTGGTGAACCTGACAATAGCAAGTTCAGTGGAGAGGCAGGAAAGAACTGCCTTCCGAAAGGAGCAGA